TCTACTATTAACCAGATTAATAGCACCCATCAACTAAATATTCCATACTTATTAATAAATATATCTTTCTTGCAGACTGGCTCAATAACTGTAATGACAAATAAAAAACACTATACCATGCTTGAAATATTAAAAATATTAAAGAAATTCAACAACAAATCAATAACAATAGATGTGACAAACTCTTATCTAATTTCAAATTTATGATTAATAGCATATTAAACTGTCACAAAGACCCTATTAGATTTGATAACAAGAAATTAAATCACATATCCAACAACACTTTGACAAATAGACAGATTATCGAAATATCAACTATCAAATATTTAGCTCTACATGGCAAAATAAATATAAACCCAAAAACAATATTCAAACTAAATAGTATAATAGTGCTCTTAATAAATTTTCTTTAGAAAAAGTCTTTACTATTTTGTCACAACTTCCTAACAACAAAGTATACAGCCCCTCTGTAATTAGCTATAAAATTCTTAAACATGCTGGCTTTTCTTTTTTACAGGCAATTACTGCTTTATTCAACAGATGTATTATCTCTGACTCAATTCCTAAACAATGGAAAGAGGGAAGAATATTCTCAATCTTCAAAAAACCTATTTTTGATAGTGATCTATCTAATACCAGACCTATCAGCCTTTTGGAATATATCAAAAAACTATATACCAAACTTCTAACTAACCATTTAAATCACATATTTATCAAATACCCAATTCTTTCCCTCTACAACTACATTGCACTTCCAGGCAACTGCACTACAATTCCTATTTATATACTCAACAATATAATCAAAGAAGCTTCTTGTAATTCAAAAGAGCTTTGGCTCCTATCCTAGAATATGAGCAAAGCTTATGACTTAGTTAATATTGACCTATTTAAGCTATCTCTTCAATATATCATATGCTACTTTCTATTAAATCGCCACAATAAAGTTATCACTAATCTTGGACTCACCAATTCATATATAGTCAAAAATAGTATAGATCAAGAAGAAACTATTACTCCTCTCTTTTGGAGAATTTATTATGACTCTCTTATTCATAGAATTTTTTTACACTTTACTGGATATATATTATCTACTTTATAGTTAACTAGCTTACAACTACGAACTAGCCAATATCTCCAAACTTCTATCTTAGTCCTGGCATATATAGATGACATATTATGGATAGCTCAGTCTAAAGAACAAATGACTGAAATTATTTTAATAGCTTCATCTTTTTACCAAATAGCAAATATACAAATTAATCTAACAAAATCGATATTGACTACCAACTCCAAATCTCCCTTTTCTATTCTTTTCATCAACTCTACAATTCAGCCTATCTTGGCTAGCCAACCTTTCAAATTTTTGGGATATTGGTTTACTCTTAACAACAAACAATCAGAACAAATTAGACTTATTCAAGATAAAACATTCTAACTAATCTTTATTTCTGGTATCAAAAGAATTACAGACAAACAAATTGCATATGTTATCAATATTGTTATCATTTCTATATTAGAATACAGAATTCACAATATAGTTCTTTCATATACTATATGTAATAATATCTTATCCAAATACCTTACTATAGCCAAACACAAATCTTATCTTGTAAAATCAATCTCTAACAGCACTATGCTTAACCCATACTTATACAATATTTGAAATATTTGAGATATTCAATTACAACACTATATAACTAATTTTCTTCAATATATCAACAATCCTTATCTTTTAGGAACAACTACTCATATTAGATTATAGCAACTACAGAATAACCTGTGATTAACCATTAATATACTTCAATACCCACAACCTATAATAAATAGTCCAAACAGATTTACACTTAACTTTAAAATTATCTAGCTTCTTATATATCTCAAACTATCTGTAACAGCAAACTCTAATATTTTATGGCCTCATACAATTCAGCACAACTTACAACTATTAGAGAAGATACTACAAACTCCAAGTACAAGACTTTTAAGTACCAATTTAGAAAACTTAAGCTACTTGATCTTGAACAATTATACATAGCTAACAATACTACACTATTGATATAGAAACATCTCTCATCTAGACTTTTATATCTACCAAAAGAAAAAGAACCCTTATAGTTCCAAACACTTGAAAGTATAGTTCTTGAAAATACACATCAATGCTCTCTATATACACAATTTCAATAACAGAGCATTAATATCTTCACTTATAATATCTACAATATGCCAAAAAAATCTAAACCATGGCTACTTTCTTTTAATGATAATGAAATTATCATTGGCAAAATCTGTACACACCTCAAGACTCTAATAAAATTTCTATTACTTAATAGCAAACAAATATTAATACTGATAATGCTGTGTACTACTTACTTCCGCCAATTAACTGCAACTCATACCCTGGTTGCCACCTCAACTCCAACAAAATAACTTCAGCCTATACAATCAATATATCAGCTATCACATCTATACAATTTTTTGGTAGAACCTCTTCTAATTCTCTTAAATTTAATGCCAACATATGGACTTAATCTTTTCTACAGCTATTAAATATTTAATTTCTTCTTCTTCACCTTATATACTACTATATATCTCTATTTCTCACTCAGCTACATTAGAAATCTTTTATCCTAGTGACAAAACATACAAATTAATTAAAATTTTATTATCGAACTCTACTCAAAATACTTTTAACTTTTACACAGATAGATCATTTATTAATATTAGTACTAACCAGTGCTCTATAGGTATAGGTTGGGCTCAAATAGATAATAACAACCAAATAATTCACAAATTTTTAGCCAAAATCCATTTATAGCCAACTTTATACAAAGCAAAACTTTTTTTTATTTTAGCTGCTATCTCAACTACTCTTTACAATTCCTTTATTAATATCTATACAAACTCTCAATCTATTATTTTCAAATTTACTAAACTTAATTCCACTACTACCAACCCTAACAAGCTTTTAAAATTTAATTCATGGCCTTTGTGGCATATGCTTCTTAATCTAATTCAATCTTTTAATTTACATCTTATTCTTCATAAAGTTCAGACTCATACTGATAATACTTTTAATAATCTAGCTGATTCATTAGCTAAACAACACATATCTGAAACATCATTACATTTTAATCACACTAATATCTACAACCTATTTCATACCTTGCAATAGGAAGAAGACCTGTTTTTAGTTAAATATCCTACTAGATATTTTATCAAAACAATTTGTAAAGCCCACATTTTAGCAATGTGGTCATCTTAAAAATGCAACAACAAATAGTTTTCACTTAACAAACAAATAGACTGGAGATCTATATGGCTTTATTTCAATCATAACCAAAAAGTTACAACACATTTTACAAACTTTAAGCTTAATCTACTCAAATTTTTTAAAATTAAAACACTGCTTAATGAACTTTCTACATACTCACTCTACCACTCTATTTATTCCAAATCTTTCTCTAATAATAACTGCTTCCACTGTGGTTCTCAGGACTCTTCATTACATTGGCATACTTGCACCAACTCTACTCTACTTAAACAAATAATTCTATCCACTATTACAGATTGTCTATGCTTTGCAGAACTAGACATTATTGACAATGAATTAGAAGAATTGATTCAAAAAGTTCACAAATATGAGGCATTTTACAATATAGCTCTTCAAACCTACTCATACTATATTGAGTCTACTCTTAAAGGTCTAATTCCTCTATCTCTAATCCAAACGTTGCAAAACTATAATATTTTTTACAAAATAGTATCCAATATTATTATTAATCTACTGCTTAAGATTAATTAACAACTGTATAAACAGTTATGGAAACCATATTGTTCAAACTTTGCTAACTGGAAAAAACATCAACACTTATCTTATTCTTATAATAAATCTAGTGCTACTTAGTACACTACTACCTTAGATTTAGAAAATTCTAGTCTAAACTCGAACTCTAAAAATATTAATCACATACAAAAAATATACACATATTCTTGCCTATGTGAAGAACCAGATCAACTTTATTCACATACAGGAACCTGCCCACTAGTTGGTCAGACCAGAAAAAAATTAATACTTGATCCTACTATTGAGCCAAATATAGTATTTCCTTAAATTATATTTTAACTATAGTAATCTAGGTGAGTCTTTGACCACTCTAGTAGGTTTAGGTTGAAGATAAATTTTTTTTTTGCCTGAGCTCTTATTCTTGCATGTAATTTTTATTTTTATTTGTACTGGTACAAATAGTAGTAGCTTTGTAAATCTCTATATTTAGTGGTTTAATGGTTAGCCTTGACTACAAGTAGAAGCCTCAGCAACTGTACTAGAGTAATTTATTTTGTTACTATTAAAAATTATTACTAATAAAGATATGAGCAAGACCTCACCTTAAAACCAAAAAAATATATATATATTTATTAAAAGATTTATAAATATTTTATAAAATAAAATTTTTTTAAAACACAAGCAATAATAAAAATTCTATATATATATAAGTGTGAAATAACATGCAGGAGCGTTATTTCGAATTCTGGCCTGAATTAAGCTTAATTTAGACCAAAATTACGGTATATAACTTTCGTTTTTTAATAAGAGAGAGGGGGCTCAGAAGAGGGGATAATGTAAAACACATAATTAAATTAGTCTGGCCTTATAGTTTATTTGTAATTGATAGCTACAAAATATGTAAGGGTTAACTTTTAGCTATCATTTACATATTATTACATTGCCTATTCCTAATCAAATATTTTTATTTTGTTTATATGTAATTGCTGAAGTTCACTGTTATACAATGCTAAAATAATTAATATATAGTTCTTATAAGTAGAAGTAATATCGGCCAATTGATTACTGAATTTAAAGAAGGTAAGATAGAGAAAATAATGATATTTAATTCTATTGGAGCAATAAAAATAATTTTACTGTTTTTAAATATAAAAGAAAAACAGGTAAATTAAAATTTTTTAAACCCATTTTAACCATCAATAAAAATATTGATAAATCATCTTGGCAAACTGAACTCTGGTTTACTATCAACATCAGAAAAACTAAATGTAGTTGAAAAAGCATTGCGAGAGAAAACAAACAATCCTTCTGAAAATACATTGCTACTACTTTTATATTGAATTTTTCAGCCTTTTACTTTATATTATTAACCTTTGTTTTCTTTTTTTCCTAATTGTTTTGCTTCTTTTTATTCTGTTAGTAATGTTGCATTGAAAGAATTTAATAGTGACATTATTAAAAAACAAGAGTATCCTAAATATGCAATTACCCAGTCTGTGACATTAAGTAGATCACTGCATTTGCTGCTGCCGCCAAGAGCAAAGAAATAATTGCTTTTTCATAATTTTCCAATAAGCCACCTTTTGTTTTAAACCCATAAGTTGAATCTAAGTCATTTGTCAAACCATCAAAGAAAGTGGTAATACACTTGTGTCTAATTATAACATCTAAATCTGTTATGATTCCTGGAACAGTATTTTCTTTTTGTATTTTATCAGTTAAATTTATACAGATACTATATTGGATACTTTTAATATTGTTATCTATTTATATCAGACTGGTACCTTTTTAGAAAATTTATCTAATAGAGTATTAAACTATTTTGTTTTGCCATCTTGAGGAAAAGCTTCAAATTTTGTTGTTGCACTTGTAGTAAATTGTGCTATGCCAATAGCAGCTTCCTTGTAAAGAAGTATATGATGAATTTAAATGCATAAAATTTAAAGTTAGTATGAATCTTAGTAATATTTATTATCTGATGATCGTGCTGTATATTTTAAATTACATAAATGATAAGGTCAATTTAATCATTATTAATTGAAAAAAATAGAAAAAAAATAATGACTAAATATGATGAACAAAATATTACTTGATTTATAATTCACAAACCCCTTTATAAATTCCTGATAAGGGTTCACTTAAAGTTTTCATCTTTAACAAAATTAGCATCCATATGAATATAATATTTTTCACCATACGCCAGTACTCATTAAATGTGCTTTCAATGACTTTTATATTAACAGCTAGTCCATCCGGATTGATGCTACATTGGTCAGTCATCATTGCCATAGTTATTTGTCTTTTGCTACCATCGGAAGCTTTGT